AAAAAAAAAGAAAGTAAAGTCCCTTTTACAGTCTTGTTCCTACAAGGTTGTGGGCCTTGTTGGTTCCTCACATGCCCTCAAAGCATTTTTCATAGTGTCCAGATCAAAAATACTTGTCTTCTTTTTAATGCCAGTCCTTTTAGCAACTGAGCTTTCCTTTGCCCCTCTTTGCCAGTGTTTTCTTTCTGGCAAAACCAAAAATCTTCAAAATGAGGCTTTTCTCTTGATTTTCAGTATAAACTTTGATAAAAGCCCTCAAAAGTATCCATGCCACAACCCCAGTGTTAGGGTGCCTTGAAATTTCCTCCACCAGATTAGTTTGCTGCCTTTCACAAATCTGTCTCCTACAAAGTCTCAAGACATAAGCAAAATGTAGACACATTTTCTGACAGAGTATAGCACACATGGTCTGCAGTCCAACTGCCAATGGAGGCCTTGTTCCCAACTGAAACGTCCGGATCCTAGTCTTTACTATCTGGATTTCTATCAACATTTTGGTCTTCTGAGCTCCGACCAGAATCTCCCAGCAAACTGGGCTTACAACATTATAGGGCTGCTTCTTCAGTCACATCTCCAAACCTTTCCAAATTCCTCCCATTAATTAGTTCCAAAGACTGCAGAACCACATAGTTAGGTACAGTCACAGCAGAGATCCCACTCCAGACCAAAATCAGTCTTGTTTTCCTTGTTGTTGTGACAAAATACTGATTCCCACAATTTAAAGGAGGAGGGATTTGTTTTGGTTTACAGTTTGTAGAGATTTCAGTCCACAGTCAGCCAGCTTCAAGGCAGAATGGTATGGAAGAAGGCTGTGGGCAGAGGAAAACTACTCAACTCATGGCATCCAGAAAGTTGAAAGAGTCAAAAGAGGAGCCAGGAAGGGAGATACACCCTTCCAGTCCACACTCACAGTGACCCACCTCTTTTGGCCTGCTCCTACCTAAAAACAAGTCAATTACACATCCCTGTTATCCAATCACCTTCCAGATACATGGGGATTTGGGGACCATTTTGGATCTAAACCACGACAGTGATTATTATGTCTACCTACAGAACTGAGCAGGGATTTGATCTCAGAGTTTTAAGGTAGTAAGGAGATTTGAAAGGCAGAGATATCAAGCTTTATCCTGCTTTTAAGGTATCCATTTGGTATTTGCAGGTACAGTCTCTATGTTCCTCCTACAAATCCTCTCCTCTTATTTTATGTTTTAATCTTGAGGGAATTAGGGTGTTGGCCAATCTAAATTTTCTGTCAAGATAGTAAATTAGCATAAGAGTGGGGAATAAACTGAGTCTTGAGTTTCTGAAATGCTTGCTCCTAAGCTTAGGGTGCATAAACAAGCCTGGGGAGTACAGATATAGATAACCTTGGATAACTTGGATTGTGTCCTGAAATTGCAGTTTCCTTAAAACTACAACTTTAAAATTACAATTCTCCTTGATTCCTGTCTTATTTTTAGTTCTTCAGTCCTACTTCAGTAGGATTAAGAACACCACACAGAAGGTGCAGAGAGACCCACTAATTTAAGCTAAGGCAGAAGATACTGCCAAGGTGGTCATGAGGAAAGAATTGTTTCTGGGTGGGGAGGAAAAATGGTTATGGAATCTCGGTAATTGCTTCAATTAGGCTAGGTTAGGGATGGAACATCGAGGGTGGGACGAGGCTGATTCCCTCATCTTCACCCCTCACGGTCCAATGACAACTGGAAAGAAGTGGGCTAGGGAGGAGGTACGCGGGTTAGGTTTCTGCCCCATAACGGAAGGGGTTGAGATTTCTTTTTTAATGCAGCCTGGAGAAAAGAGATGGTGGGGTACATAATAGAGGAGGAGGATAGAGCATGGCGGGAATCCAAGAGTCCAAGCCTTGAGCTGGGGAAGAGCCCGTCGCCTGGGTATGGAGGTCGCCTGGCAAGAAGGACGGTGCTGTTACTAGGCAACCCAGCTCGGGCCCGCCTCCCGATCGCGTTGCTAGGAGACCTCGAGGCCAGGGGGAGGGCGCGGAGCGGGTCCTACGTGCTGACGCTAATTGTATATGAGCGCGAGCGGCGGGCTCTCGGGTCTTTTTTAGCGCCATCTGCTCGCGGCGCCGCCTCCTGCTCCTCCTGCCGCCGCGGCCGCCCTTCGTCGCTCCCTCCGCAGCTCCGTCCGCCTGACTCCCCGAACTAGCCGCTGGTAACGG